TCTCTCATCTCCCCCCCCCCCCCTCTCTCTCTCTCTCTCACACACACTCCTCCTCTCTCTCTCACCCCCTCTCTCTTTCTCTCTCTCATCCCCCCTCTCTCTTTCTCTCTCTCATCCCCCCTCTCTCTCTCTTTCTCTCTCTCATCCCCCCCTCTCTCTCTCTCTCTCTCTCTCTCTCTCTCTCTCTCTCTCTCTTCTCTCAAACAAAAGCCATTGTAAGGGGAGCCAACTCTTGTCAGATTTGGAAGCGTCATCTTTCACAGCGACCGCCCTTGCAAAACTGATCCCTGATTCAAGTTCAAGTTTCCCAAAAGAGAAAGAATCTACTAGATATAGATCTATCTCTAGATTCTAGATCTCTAGATAACTAGAACTAGATCTACATCTATCTTCTAGATCTAGAATTTCTGCTGACGAATTTTTCCGGAGGAAAGAGAGACAAACATTCCTGTCATTTCTGAGGCAGGGCATCGTTGTGTTGGCCTACCGTAGGTTGTTTTGTAAGTTAGTTCCTCCAGGCTTGAATGTTTTCTTTGGATGTTATTGTGAGCTGTTGAATGTTTTATTTATTGGGTGTTATTGTGAGCTGTTAAATGTTTTATTTGGATGTTAGGTAAATTTCTACTTTCACTTCCGCACACAGATGCACTGTTTCAGGGGTCAGACTGCTGCTGTACTCTGTACTGTTTGCTGCAGATCACACATAAAGCCACTAAAACTGTCGCAAATCAATTATTTTCAAGACAATTTCAAATCTAACTGTAAAATATCAAATTATGGGTAAAAACAGGGGGGCATGCCCCCCTGCCCCCTGTAACCCCCCAGATTTTCTTTCACCCCAGTGGGGCAGGCCCCCCTGGAACCCCCCGATTGGTCCAAAGCTTGTCTATCTTGGTTAAAAACAATCAAATATTTCAAAAACTATTAATTTGCGACGGAAATGAAGTTGATATTCGTGTTCAGCGCATCAATATTTAGTAGAAAATGGACAACTGGTAGCTGAGTGTGAGACGGGAGGGAAAGTAAAAAAATACCAGATATATATAGATCTATGTTATTGTGAGCTGTTGAAGGTTTTCTTCTTGACGTCTATCACCACCAAAAAATAAGAAGCAAAGCCGAGAGCAAGCTTGCTGACTTCTTGTTTTGCTGGATTCTAGGCTATAGCCCATTCTAGATCTAGATCTATCATGAAGGTTCTAGAGTCTGAATTCTAGATCTATATCTAGATCTAGAATCTAGATCTAGATATTAGATCTTAAACTTTAGAAATGGGTGCCTAGCGAGAAATCTAGATTCTAGATCTAGAAAGGAAGAGGCTAGCCGTACTTAATTTTTGGTAGCGTCACAAGTGACACGGTGGCAATTGACGAAAATTGACTTTTTGTCAATTGCCACCGAGTGAAGCGGTGTCAAGTCTGAAAACAACACCATCTTTAGCATTTTATACATGATTAATGTGTGTCCAATGGGTCAATTTGTTCTCAACTAATTTCATTGGACGAGCATCTAGTCTAGAGCTACGGTACCGACTTGGCGTGTTTCAATGAGACGTATCTAGATCTAGGCTAGCCGGCGCTTTTTCGGTAGTTCCCACCCCGCAATTGTTATTCGCCGGTTTTGGCCTCAAGAGAGGGGGGTTTCAGGGGGGTTTGCCCCCTGTCCTAATACAAATGTGGTTGTGGGGGAGGGGGGGGGGGGTTCAGGGGCCCTGAATTTTACCATAATTTGATGTTTTGCACTTGCTAGGTTTTATACCTTAGCTCGCATCAAACGTATAGATCTCGATGTAGGTCAGGCTCAAAATATAAGGGGGGTGGGAACTATCGAAAAAGCACCGGCTAGCCTTAGCCTACACTTTGATGTAGAACCAACACAGGCAATTCTAGAAGTCGAAGGTCACAAACGCACACAGACTCAAGCAGAAATTCACGTTATATCGGGGAACATAAATCGGGGGACGGGGGTCAGGAAAAGACACACACACACAGACACACACACACACACACACACACACACACACACACACACACAACACAGAGCACTCAAGCCTCAAGCACAATATAAGCTAGATCTACCGACAAACGCAAAGAGCTCCAATTTACTCAGTGGCAATTGACAAAAGTCAATTTTTGTCAATTGCCATCACGTCACTCAGTGGCAATTGACACTACCTTAATCATTACGAATGACGGCTAGACTAAGTACGGCTGGGCTGGTTGGCTACGGCTAGACAGCTGGGCTAGCCGTACTTATAAATTCTTAATATGATGGCTAGACTTAGGCTAGACTACCATTTTTTAAAAATGGGCCTACTGAATTGTAAATATTTTTCGCAGTGGCTATTTTTACGGCGAGCCGTAAATAAGATAGCCTCCCGGGCTATTTTTACGGCGGTCACAAACTGATGACGTAGAACACGTTTTTTTGGTGGAATGGTAGATTCTATACAGATGCTATGGCCAATCGTACCAGGCACAATTTTGATATTTGAATGTAAAAAAAAATATATATATATATAGATCTATGTGTTTCTGTACCCTGAAATTGCATCACAATAATTAATAAATTAATCCTTGTGAACAAAAAAAAAAAAATTTTAGATCTACACCTCTATCAAAAATCTGCTCAGTGCAAAGGAAGGAGGAACAGTTTAACGGCATTCCCAAGGCGAAAAGTGTTAACTCCAAAATGGCCGCTCTTCTTGTGGGTGTGGTACATGTAGTGATGTCGGTGAATGAGATGATGATGCTGGCAGTGGTGATGGTAATGATAATGACGAGGAGGTGGTGGTGGTGATGGTGATAAAGAGAGGGTGAATGATGATGGTGGGGAGAAGAAGAAGGAAGCGGTGGTGGTGGAGGAAGGGAGAAGGAAGATGAAGAAGAGAATAGAATGATGGTGAAGAGGAGGAAATGGAAAACCTGTGGGGCTGTTCAAATATAATCTTACACTTTTGGGGACGTTTTTTAAACACCAAACCCAAATACAGTCCATGCCGGCTCTAAGCACGGTCGTCGGGAGAAAGCTTAAGCGTGCTTAAAGCCGAAGCGTGCTTGAGTGCGAAGTAGACATAATCCAGAGATTTTCAGGTAGAAAATTCCCCGTGCTATTTCCCTTAGTTTGTAAGTTGGCCTATAGCGGTCCCGCAAAAGTGTGCACTGTTATTTAGACACCCGCCATGGTAGTTTTTGTTCGCTTGTTTGTTTTTGTTTTGTGGTCGAATGGGAAATGAAAACTTAATTTAGACGGCTAGTCACGATACAGCACACTAGGACTACTGTAACACACTGCCTGTGCGTACCACTGCCCGCTGTGCCACTCATACCACCGCCTTCATCCCACCTCGCGCGTGATACACAATCAGGATTATCGGATAGCGAGGGTCAAAGGTGAAATCGCAGCCAGCCTCCCTTTCTTGTCTCCCCGACTCTCTTTGTATTTTTTTTGGTCGTGTGTAGCTTTGCCCTAGGCCTAGGCTAGATCTTATGTCTGCGCGCACGGCTGTGTGCATCTCTCTGCCTTCCTCTCCGCCCGTGTGAGTGTGCGAGTCCATCACTTGCATTCTTTGTGTTTCTCTTGACACACTCCACTGCTGCGGTGTAGACTGTGTTCGAACTTCGATGGGTCATCATGAAAATATTGACTGTCTTGTAAATGAAGTGTGCTTGAAGCCAAGGTTGCCGTGCTTAAAGGCGTGTAATTTACATAGCAAAAATTCGGTAAGAGCCGTTTAGCGTGCTTGAGTCCAGAACGTGCTTTAAGCCGGCGTGCTTAAAGCCGGCATGGACTGTACCACTTTTCTCACATTTGCCTCCAACCCCCACCCACACCAATTTAATATTAGTACTTTTTCCGATCTTCAACTTCCATTATTATTTGAAAGATACCTGTACTAACTATACCGTATACGTGGCTTTTTTTAACCCACTAAAAAAAAAAAATCATTTCAGTTAATGCAATTTAATCAAACCATATGAAGTAGGAAGAACGCATACATGTGGAAGACACTGAGACTGTTGTCAATGCAGTAGGTACGTGCCTTACAAATAAAAGACATCAAGACACTAAAAGATCAACAAAACAGTTGCAAAGTTACAAAGAAACATTAAGAAATTAGATATCCACTGACAGAATTTTCATCATAATTTCAAAATTATTAGTAAACCACCCCCCCTCCCCCTCTCCAAAAACAAAAACAACGGGGATCTGCAGTGATCATCTGGGTCTTGTTACTGGCATTTATCCACTTTTTCTTTGACCTTTTCTTCCCAGTCATGAGCAAAACGTTCATCTCACAGAAGTGCCATATTTGGTTAACCTCCCCACCCACCAATCTTCCACTTTTCTTACAGAAGCCAAAGACACCTTTCCCCTCTGAGGTGTAAGTTTATATTTTGAACGGCTCCTATAGGCCTAGATCTAATACATTGAGGCATGTCGCGTACATGAGAGGCGGAGTAGGGTTGCTTTTCGAGGATCGCCGTAAAAAAAGCCTGGGACTCACTGGGAGGCTATCTTTACGGCTTGCCGTAAAAATAGCCTCTGTGTAAATGTTTAGTATGCAGTACCTAAAGTATTTGTATTTGAGACGAAACCAGGGGCCTAAATGACAGTGCATGTATTTTAAACCTCCTGTTTTCTCATGTTAATAGGGCCAAAGATAAGGACGGCTAGACTGTCAGGCTAGCCGTACTTAATATTGATGGCTGAATTGTACATGAAATGTTTAGTTTGCAATGCCTAAAGTATTTGTATTTCAGGCAAAACCAAAAGGTGCCTTACTGACTTGCATGTATTTGAACCTGAATAATTACTAGATCTAGATCTAGTGAGAATGAGACCTGTACTTGACAGGCAGGTTTGAGTCGATAGGGCCAAACCTAGATCTAAGTACGGCTAGATATCTAGATATCTAGATAAGTACGGCTAGACTGCTAGAAAATCTAGATCTAGATATCTAGATTTAGACTAGTAGATCTAGACTAGATCTAGTAATT